TGCAGACTTTTATGCTATGTCTGATTGTATTCTTTGTATCTCTTTCTCCCAGGCTGCAGACACGTACCTGGTCCAGGTGTATAACCTCACCCTGCTGTGTTCAGAGGAGTACATCATAGAGCCTCAGTCAGTCCAGTTCCTGGTTCAGCATGGCTTTGACTTTAACAAGCAGTACGCCCATGGAATCCCTTACTGCAAGGGCAATAATAAGGTGAAGATACTACATTTTGTTCTGTGATGTGGTGACAGTCCTGAGCCCACTGTCTTCTCAATTGTACATCTGTTATTGTGGAGTAGACAGTTAAAACGTGATATATCTAATGCCTGCAGCAGTGTGTAATGGGTACAAATATATATTTATACACATTTGGGATTTAAATTGACTTTTTAGTTAAAGTCACTCATTGCTAAGAAATATGCTCAGCCACACAGCATGCTTCAAGAGTAGCCAGTAAAGACTCTCCGCCTCAGCTGGATGTGTGAATCACAAATGGTAGAACCCAATTTAAACCAGGTTAAGAATAAACCACCTTAAAGCAGCCTGTGTGTTTCATCTCGGGTCAAGTCGAAGATCTGGATTTGGAGAACATTAGCTGGAATCTGATCAATTCCAGTACCGAGCATTGCTGGTTTGCAAAACTGGACAGGGCAAGGACTCTCTGCAGTAGAATATTTCAAAGTCTATAAACATCATTTGATATTTAAATCAATGGAGTTACCTTTTGAAATGATGTATTCTTCTATACTTTTAGACAGGGATGCACCACATAATGTCATCAATAGATTATTTCTAAATTGGTGCTTATCCATACAGTTTATCTTTATTGTGATTATTTTCTTTTGTTCAACCAATATAGGATCGCTATAATTATTGACAGTTATCTGCTCCATGCATGCCAAGTGATCATGAGGGGAATAAACTATCTAATAAAACAGGGAATCCTATAGGGCCCTATGTAAGTAGACATAAGTAAAACATAGATACTGTATATATACAATTTAACATAGAACATGACACTGCAAAAAGATCAACAATATTCCTTTGATGTTTTTAATTTCTATCCGTCATTTCTCTCTCTAACTTGTTAGGCAGAATCAGACGATCAGGGGGTCCACATCCGAGCGTTATTCACTGAACTGCTGCGTGCCAGGAAGCCCCTGGTGCTCCACAACGGCCTCATCGACATGGCCTTCCTTTACCAGGTAACATCAACGTATGATGTTGGCTGTTCACTTTTGTTCTTTTCCTCTTTCTCATAATAATTGTACTTATTTTCTTCGCAGAAAGTAAATACATAATTCAATGGCTTTTTCAATGAGGGAAAAATAACCTTATCTTAAGTTGCTATTTCCATTTTGGTTTTCGAGCTGCAAAGTCGATTATGATGTAACTTTGATGTAATCTAATTAAGCTAAAATGCCAAGGATTCTCTGGTTCCAGCTTCTCCATCATTTGCTGCCTAATTTTATATGAAATATGTTCCATTGCAACAATGTCTCTCTCCCCCAGAGTTTTTATGCACATCTGCCCGACCGCTTGACCACCTTCACAGCCGACCTGTCTGAGATGTTTCCTGCCGGCATCTACGACACCAAATATGTCACTGAGTTCGAGCTCCGTCTCACTGCCTCATATCTGGAGTATGCCTATAAGAAATGGTGTGTATTTGTGTAATGTACTGTACAGTAAATAATAAGGTGCAGTTCAGATTGAACTGTAATAAAAACACTCAGTTATCTGGACTATTCCTCTGACGTGTCCGTTATTGTCTAAAGCAGGAGACCTTGTGGAGCATTATTGTGCTTGAAGCAGTGTTGTAAAATGAAGTGCTGATGTTGTGAAGTGCCTGTTCCCTCATTGCCTCCTCTTCCCTTCAGTAAGCTGGATAGCAGTCGCAGGGGCACCTCTGGAGGAACTGAGCCTCACGTTCAGCTACATTTCTGCCAGTACGCCGGTCAGATGTCCAGCTACGTGGACTACAGAGTGTGTCCAGCTGTGGGCTCTGTTGAGGGACAGACTGACATCTGCCCGCGCTTCTCTGTGAGTTTTCCCTTTCTTTAAGAAATCTTTATATTGTTCTTTATGTTCAAGTGAAAGGGAAATACACAAACAAGCCAAATAGTCAGTATTTACTATTAACATCCTTGTCTCTATGTTTGTCCTATAGGCATTTGGCTGGTGTTCAAATGGCAGCGAGTGTCTATTATCCCACGACACTGACCTGATCATCCTCCAGGACGAGAAAGACCTGGGGAACAAGAGAACTAAGAGGAAGAGACGTAAAGAAAAAAGGAAAGGTAAAGGCGAGGCAGCGGAAGACGGTGCCCCTCAACACAAAATCCCCCACATGGCGGTGGATCTGCAAGAAACGCCAGATGAGAAGCAAGGGGCCGAGTCATCCTCAGAAAAAGGGTCTCTAATGGACACCCAACAGAATGAACGAGAGAAAACAGACATCGAGGGGAACGGAGTGAGCCAAGACAACACACTTGAAATAACACCCACTACTGATGACAACGCAAAAACCAACACAAATGGTGGTGAAGAAAGCAGAACAAAAGATGGAGGAAGTGAAAAATTAAGCGAGAAATCGTCCAAGACTGAGCAGAAGAAGAACGCCGACTCAGGATCGCACCGTGCCGGGTTCGACGCCTTTATGACAGGATACATTTTTGCCCATTCATGTACCCTGAACAAGAAGAAAGGAGTGGAAGCTGTAGGGAAGGAGGAGGAAGAGGAGTCCTGGGTTCCTTCGTGTCTCAATAAGGTCTACCTCAGCGGTAAATCTGCTCCTCTCAACGTGGTTAAAAGCACCTTCTCCAAATCATCCAAGGCCCATGTGGCGAAGATGGAGATGGTTTGGGGAAAGAAAGTGTAGTGTCCACACTTGAACACAGTATTTAAGTGTTTATATTAGGGCTGCAACTAATTATTATTTGAATTAGTAATCTGCAGATTACTTTTACGATAAACTGTTTGTTCAATAAATTGTCCAAAAATAATAAAAAAGGAACAACCTCAAAAGACTCAAAGTCCAAGTGATTCAATGTTTTGTTGAGTCCAAACCTATGGTCCAAACCCAAAGATGTTGACTTTAATATAATATTTAACAGAGAAAAGCCAAGATCTAAAAACTGCATTTTCTGGCATTTTTTCCATGGATAATTACTTAAAGGATACATCAATAATCAAAGAAGTTGGTATTTTTTTCTCTGGATGCACCTATTGATTGGTCAATTACTAGTTACAACTCCAATGTACATGTGCAGGTTCAATATCAATAATTGTTTAGCCTGCCAACAGTTTGGCTCAACTATTTGATGGACAGTGCTGAACCCCAGAGGGATGGGTAGATCCCCTTCCTCTGTCACTATGAGGTTGACCATTTCTGTTTTTAGTGACACATTTTGACAATTATTGAATAGATTGGCTTGGAATTTGGTCCATGCCCCCCCCCCCCCCCCTCAGGATGGATGGATTTAAAAAAGTAATCCCTAACTAGGGAACCAGGATTTTGTGTTGATTTGCATTTGCCATGTTTTAAGAATGATGGAATAGGGGGTCAGTTTGCTTGTGGAACAACCTTTCAGTCTGGCAGTGTTGAAATGTAAGTCTGTTTCTCATGCTCTATACTGTTTTATTTCTTTGTAAGACTTTTGTACATTTGTACCTACTATTAATAGTATTAAAGACGGTAATAAAGTGCAATTCAGTGGCAGCTGTTTTGATCAAGCCAGGTATTGTTTCTTAAGTTTCTCTGGAAAGAGCCAGATTCTTGATTTGCATTCATTCTTCATTTTTAGATGTTTGTATAATTACCTTTTACAGGAGTTACCTTTTGAAAAAATAAATGTATGCTCTTTAAAAATGATCATTGTCTTTATTTCATTATTTACTTATACTGGTTTTATCTTGAAGGATGATTAAAACAAAATGCCATAATTTAACCCCTTGCTATAACCAGCACATCATTTTTTAATCGACTGTCCATGGAAGTAATAGTTAATATATCAGCAGTGTGGCACCAATTGTACCACACTCACAAGTTGACATCCCATTTTAAATACGTTTTTAAAACGTTTTTGTTTGTAGATACATTCATTTTTATTGTGAACTACAAGATTGATAATCATTTAATTTTTTAAATGTTTGCAAACTGACTACAGTGAAAGTTGGTGTATAGCTCCTTCACAGGATAAACCATTTGGTCTTTAGTAACTCAGCCTGTCCTCTGGCGCCACCCTCTGGACAAACATTTTCTTGTTTCTGTTTATGTGATGGAGAAGGAATTACATTTGTTTGTTGTTACAAATACTTTCAGTTGAAACAGATTCCTGGTGACAACATTGTTTGGAAGTAGTTCGGCTTGAACACATCACTGAGGGTAAAGTATGTCACAGAACACAGGATTATTTAATAGAGGTGTTTTCATTGAATTCAATATCAAAGCAGTCAAGTGTATATAATGGGGTGCTAGGTGTTGACCGCTGTGGATCACACTGGTTGTGTTGTTCTTGTTGTCTCCTGTCCCACTTCAGGAAGGCCATACACCCAGGAAGAGCCCTGCCCTGTGATATCAAAAAAAGGCAATGTACAGAGATTAAATTAGTGTAAATCTTCACATGAAACTTTTGTCAAAAAAACAATCATGAAAGAGACAAACTCTGTCTTTAATGTTCTACTTAACAAAACACAGGTCCTTGTGTCCAGTTGCCACAGTATGGTTCACTCAGAGGAACATATAAACAAAGTCTAGTTTATATTTTACATGATGATTGCAATGAAATCACAGCACGTAAGCATTTATATATTTATAGTTAAACACGTTTTATATCAGACACTGGAAGCATTCAGATCTGTAAATTCATATGAAGACATGGACTTCATCTCAGGCTGATTGTACTTTACATTTGAGATCAGATGTTTCATTAGCTCAACTTGCTGTATTTGAGTAATGATCAGACCAACAACAACATCAACAGGTACGTAGGCCAACCACTAATAGTTCAATAACAAGTGTTTTCATAATTTCTTTCCATAGAGGTTTCGTCTTTAGGTTCAAGATAACGATAAACCATGTATTGATATTTGTCTCTGCTGCACATTGTGATTTATCTCTAAGCTAGCAAACTGAAAGCTGCGTGTTATACATTTCCAGTTTAATACCAGTTATATATCTACAGATTCAATATTTATGTTTACAAAATGGACGTAGAGGATTCCATGGTTGCTATGGTTTGACGCAGGACTAGCGTCAATATCGGATCAATATTTAAACCATAACAACCTGAAAACTACCTGAAGACGGTCACGAAAATATTTCCTCCGCTTTCACTCGACGATTCTGCCAAATTATCGCTTCAGCTCAAGTCTTTTTACATCCCGACAAGAGTCAGAGAACCCCTGAGAGTTATTACAGCGAGAAAACACACTTTAATTATGGAAAATGTAAGATTTCATAACGTTGAAAGTCCCCGTTGTTTCCAATGTGCTTTGCCGTCGACATTTTCAGAAACCTCACAGTTTACTGATGTTTATCAAATCATTTAGTCTCCTGTAACGATAAGTAGGCCTACCATTAAACAGTGTAACTATCAGATTAAGGTCAAGTATACTGTGACGACTCAATTAATACATCTTTGCATTAAAAACTACCAAAAATACACATGCATTCATCAAAACTAGGCTATATGACAATATTAACAAATAAATGTTGTATCTAATACAAATCATTTATATTAACTTTTTAGGCTATATCACCCAGCTTCAAGCTGAAATACATTCATATTGTAACTTTGAATCAAGCTAATTAAAGTCACTCACTTTAACTTAGCATTATTTCCATCATATACATGTGCAATATTATATGTTCAAACAATAAACAGACATATGCTTATTATATAACATTGTAATCACGTCACATATGTGTCACTAAAGCACAATATTAACTGACATGAGGGCCTAAAGGTGGCTCTTGTTTTGTTACCGGACCTGTCTCGTCTTGAGGAGGTTTTCAGACTTTGATTATGTTTCATGTTTCTTCATTTATGATTTTTATCCAACAACCACATCCATCTTTGGCAAGTTAATCTTCCAGCACATAAAACTATAACACATTTGATTTGTATACTACGACATGACAACATACTTGAAAAAGGTCCATCCTGCATGTACTTGTAGAGCCTCATCCTAACATGAGTGTGTGTTGTTGCAGGGTCGAGTGCCCGTCCTCCCGCAGGACAACCAGACAGGAAGGAGAGTCTCTGCCCGCCAGAGGAGGCCTGCAGTCTGCAGACAGTGTTCCCTGCTGCAGGGACGACCAGGTGAGACATCTGATCCTCAACTCTGTTCCTTGAAATTGTACACAGTTTAATCCACAAGATTGTTTGACAGGTTTACAAAAAGGTAAACACATAGTGGAGTATATTGTCAATACTAAATAGTTTGAGAAGGTCCATTGTACAGGACTAATGCCCCAAATACTCACATTTCAAGTAATCCTCTGCATCTGATGTAGATGTTTCCTCTTGTAAAATGATAAAAGTATGTTGTTAAGTAAGAAGTTTACTAGAGTCTGACATCCTCTCGTGTTTTGCTGACCTTCTCCAGGTGCCACATACAAAGCGCCGGCGCCCTGCTGCTTCTGCAGACCTTCCCCAGAAAAGGAAGCAGACCTCCGCGGCTCTTCCTCCTAAACCTGCTGACCTGCCACCTGTCTCTAATGTGGCCTCCAGCCCCCGGACCTCCAATGCTCCCCTGCACCTCGAAGACCCTATTAGGATCCACAACCGCTCAGTCGAGGAGTACCAGCTCATCTACCATGAAGTTGTGGATAACATGCTGAGGTACGTTGCGTCACAAATGAGTCAGTTCATTTACAGAGTTTCCACTCTCTTAGAAATCTATCTCTCTATTTTCCTTCATCATAAAGATTTATTTTTGTGTTTCTCCTCTCAGGTTCCCGGACGGTCGCCTGCGTCCATATAGTTTGGGTCTGGGTCGTCGTATCAAGCAGAAGCTGTGGGAGCGACTGGACCGTCCGATGTTCACAGAGACAGTGGATGAAGACGGTCTGGTCCATGTGGACGTGTCCTACGGTGCTGGAGTCCAGCCTCCGCTCTACAACGTGGATGTTTCTGGTGAACCAGAGCCCGAATATCCACCAGCAAAAAGGGCAAAGCACTAAGACACACTCTCATAAGCTGACATGTCTAATAATACTGTGCTTTAAGTTTAGTTTAGTTTTTTTTTAAAGTATGGCAGATAAGTTTAAGTTTATTAAGTGTAGAGATACGTTTTTAGTGCCAAGCATAAGTATTATGTGCTAAGTCTTTAGTTTTAAGTATTTAGTAATAAGTATAAGTCTAAAGTGTTAAGAGTAAGTGTTTAGTTTAAGTTTTTAGTTATAGTAATTTGTTTGAAGTATTTCATATTAAGTGTTACGTTTTTAGTGCCAAGCACAAGTATTAAGTGTCAAGTCTTTAATTTTAAGTATTTAGTAATAAGTATAAAGTGTTAAGAGTAAGTGTTTAGTTTAAGTTTTCTGTTTAAGTACTAAGTTGAAGTATTAAGTATTAAGTATTTAGTGTTAAGAGTAAGTATTTAGTAGTAAGTATAAGTGTTTAGTTTAAGTATTTAGTAATAAGTTTAAGTATTTAGTATTAAGAATAAGTATTTAGTGTTAAGAGTTAGTATTTAGTTGAGTTAAGTTTACTTTCATTGATCTTAATGTATCTCACCACTGATGAATTGTCTTCCTCTGAATCAGTTCCTGCTCCTCTGTTAACAGTCTTCTTACTCCAGCTTCAGCCTCAACAGCAACAGTTATCACCTGCCAGAACACCTGCTCCACCCTCCAGCCTCCACCTGTTACTTCTACCAGACAAAACATCAGCCTTGAGCTGCAGCCTGTGAGATGACAGACTCCTCTCCACCTGCAGCCGCTGTCTCTCTGTTGCCTACATCCTCTACCAGCAGCTTCAGCATCAAACTGCTGCCTCACTCTTCACCTGCAGCCTCTGTCAGCAACCTGCAGCCATCTCCTCCAACTGCACATTCTGTTGAATGGCTGAACCTCCATCTACAGCCTTTGCCAGTGCCTATACCTCTCGAAGTGAACTGCTATCCGAGCCTCCACCCACAGCCTCTGTCAGCAACCTGCAGCTTCCGCCTCCACCTGCAGATTCCTACAGCCATCTGAAGACGACCACTGGGGGAGTGGTCGTCTTCAGATGAAGATCCCCACAGAAAGCTGTGGCCAAACCTCCACCTACAGCCTCTATAAGGAAACCTGCACAGATGTTATCCTACTGCCATGTGGAGACCTGAGTGGAACAGCAAGGACCAGAGAAACACACGTAGATATAGTCCTTCAGTTAATATGCAAACATATTTCTGTGTTATTAAAGCTGGCTCTCTGTTTACATTCAGTTCACTTGTTCTTCTTCTCACAGGTGTTTTCAAACGTTGTGAAAGACTGAGCTCACACTCCTCAACATGAACCTGACTGACTGTGATGATGCCTTCATGAAACGAGAGAGCTCCACTGTACGTACAGTATAGCAGTATGAGATTTCTTAACAACACTCTGAGTGTATTGGGATTTTTAATGGAAGTTCGGTGATGAATTATATTTGAATGCAACACCTTACACTTCCAGATCTACCAGGAGCTGCTTCAGGGCCCTGAGGACAACTCCTTTTACAACAGCTCTGTTCCAGAGATGCTTCCTCCTCCTCCACATCCTCCACCTTCACCACCCCTCCTGCTCATCGCCAGAACTAAGAGTGCCCCACCCCATCTCAGCAACCACCACCAGTTTCTCCTGCAGCCACCGCCTCCATATGTAGATTCTGACAGACACTGCTGACAGCCAAACCTCCTCCTACAGCTTCTGCCAGTGCACCTGCGTCTACACCTCTTGAAGCCAACTGCGGCTGAACCTCCACCCACAGCCTCTGTCAGCAACCTGAACCAGCACCTACACCTCTCGTACACTACTGCCATCCAAACCTCCACCTGTAACCTTTGCCAGCCGCCTGAAGACACCTCCTCCACCTGAAGATCCCCACAGAAAGCTGGGGTCAAACCTCCACCTTCCGCCTCTATAAGGAAACCTGCACAGATGTTATCCTACTGCTATGGTTGGATCTAAGTGGAACAGCAACGACCAGAGAAACACTGGTAAATATGATCTTTGAGTAAACATGGGAAAATATATCTGTATAAAAATAGCATGCCTGGGCTGGGCTTCTGTTTATATTCTGTGCACTTCTTCTTCTTCTCACAGGTGTTTCCATACGTTGTGTGAAAGACTGAGCACACACTCCTCAACATGAACCTGACTGATTGTGATGATGCCTTCATGAAACAGAAAGAGCTCCTCTTCCTCCCACTTGTACGTAGAGTATAGCAGTATGAGACATTAAGTCATGGGATTTTTGATGGAAGTTTGCTGATGAATGCTATTTTAATGCAACACCTTTTCTTTGTGTTTTCTCCAGGCCTTGTTGGACTTCCAGATCAAGAGATGCTTCCTCCTCCCTATCGTGCACGTTCACCACCCTTCCTGCTCATTGCCAGGACTAAAAATGCCCCTCCCCATCTCTGCAACCACCAGCACTTTCTACGCATGCCGATTCATTGAAGGCCAAAGATTGCAGAGACGCTCCACCCGAGACTTCAGTGCCTTACTTTTCCAACAACGCCCCCTAATACGACGTCCAATGTGCTCTTTTAAGCCTCTGCACTGTTTTACAATAAATGAACTATTGTCTGCAACCATCTGATCAGTAATTTGAGACCAGAATAATTTGTATAAAACAGATCCTAAGGATATGATTGTTTTTGTGTGTTTAAGTTGAAGTGTGTTCCTTTGTCATGGTATATTAATTATTAGTCGCCACTTATTTAGGGTTTATATTAATACATTAATAACATTAACACATTCACTTTCTAGTAATTCATCATGTCGGAATTTCTTGAGCCAAATGTACAAAGACATCTGACACAAAATGTAATTACTGCAATTACGGCTATTTCAGCCAATACAACATTTCCACAATCTCATCTGAAATATCAACAAGTATCATTGAAATGCGTATTAAATAAATAAAAAGCGTGTTGTTTCAATTTTCCAAAATAAAGTTTATTTTTCCTCTACATTTAAGGTGAATTCTAAATATGAACCAAATATACCAAGAGTCACAATATGTCAAAGCCAGACATTTAATTATATAATAGCCCACTATATATGTACAGTTGAAATAATACAGATAACATATTCACACCAATTAAACAATTAAACAAATGCTAAATAACTTCAATATGAAGTGGGGTTCAGAGATGATCAGGATATTCAAGAAACAGTTAACAAACAGAAAATGATTAAAGAATATTTTGTTAGAGATTGAAGAACATTGTTAGAGCAGCTTACGAAATAATAAGTCATGAAATGTGAAATTCAGTCATTTACACTATATAAAAGGAGAAATGATTGTGTGAAGTCAAACAGCTAATCGTAAATACAGCATGGCCCTTTTTCAATTGTTGCCACATTATATACACATCCAGTCTCTTTTAGGCAGCTTTTTGGACAGGAATAAAGACATTGTGTCCTAGCATTGCAAACTCTTATGTATAATGTCACCTATTTGTTCTGTCCCTTTCAAACATACATTGAATTTGAGATGGTCAGGTACTGGAATAGCACATACACTTTGAATAGTACAGTACGGTAAATCCAGGGAAATGTTCTTAACAGCAAATATATAAGAAACACATTGTAAACATGTATAGGAGCACATTTCAAGATTGTTAGGGCTTTAGACATTAGTCTGGTATATACAAAATATTACAACTATAACAACACATCCAAAGCAGCTCCAAATATAATTTCTGGCTGAAAGTGTCCCTCTCTATGGTTGTTGCTGGTATTGTCCCTCTGTGGCGGTGTAGAAGTCGTCCAGGACACTCTGCAGGTACTCGAAGGTGGGCCTGTCTTCAGGTTTGTGCTTCCAGCAGGACGTCATGATGGCGTAGAGCTCGTCAGGACAGCTGTCAGGCTGAGGCATCCTGTAGCCGCGCTGCACCGAGGAAATCACCTCTCCTTTGGTCATACCTGAGGAGAACACAGGCAGGCATGCAGGTGAGAATCTAGGATTGTTTAGAGCAGGGGTGTCCCAACTACGGCCCGGGGGCCAACTGCGGTCCGTTGTCCATTTTAAATTGGCCCTCAGCTAATTGTAAAAGCATAATGGAATATGGCCCACATCTGAAACTTGTGCTTTTCTTATATTGCACTTCTTAAATATATATGTATATGACACAGTAGTATTCGTGTGTTCATGTAACCAATTTTCAAATAAATTCAGTCAATTAAAGTTGAAAACATTTTCTAACAAATCTTAGTTGATAAAAAAACGCCCAATAACTTACTTACATATCAAGTTTCAAATATACCTTTCCTCTTTCCCCTTATTATAAGCAATCTGAGGCTTCTGTTTTAAGAGATGAGTTGTCAACACTTTTTGTAACTAAATAAATGAAACCCGATGGAAAGCTGTGATGTAGGCGTTTTTTTCTCTTTAAGCATTTCAATTATCAAGAATAATTTACCTACATTTGATTGATTTTGCTAACTTATAACTTAACTTATGAGGCAATAAACCTCACCTCTGGTGGGGGGCCCAACCCTTTATATGCTTTTCTGTATGTGGCCTTCAGTGAAAAAAGTTTGGACACCCCTGGTTTAGAGGGACAACACACATACTCTATATAGCCACGTAGTCATTAGCTTGAGTAAAGAATCACCAGTAGAGGACGGTAGATATTCAAAACACAATGACTCCAGTATTGTGGAAACCTCTTTTACTGTAGTCACCACGTTTGTCTTAGTCAAATTGTTCGTTATAAGTAAAGCTACGCAAGTTATTTAATGGTATTTTGTGCATTATTCAAAGATCATAACACTGTAGTTTAAAAAAAATTCAAATAATATAAGTAGTACAAATAGGCTACTTAGGTTTTTTTTTTTACCTGGGTAGGGGCATTTCCCGTATGTTATAATCTCATAGAGCAGAACTCCGAAGGACCAGATGTCTGACTTGATGGTGAAGGATCCGTAGTTGATGGCCTCTGGAGCCGTCCACTTGATGGGGAATTTGGCTCCTGAGCATGACATGGTAAAAAACATTAAATATGCCGTTCATTTAGTATCTAACAAAACCAGCTGCTTGACATGATCATTGGCTCAGTGGCTTTTGTGCTACCATGAACATACTGTAGGAGAAAATCAAACTCTTCAAAACCATTGACCATTAATCCAGTAAGACAACTTTGGGAAGATTAAATTGTATCTTTTTAATCTTCCATAAACCAATCATTACTGAATTTTCTATGAAAATTGTTGTTACAAAATGCAAAACACATGAAGTTACACTATCAATGTGTGTAAAATCGTTTTTTGCAGATAAGTGCATAAGATGTCACTGAAATAAAAAAATATTTGAAATGCCAAATGATTTGCTCTCATCATAATTGCTTTTGCCATTAGTTGTTTACATCTGAAAATGTTTTAACCTTACTGCACTGATCAGCTTAGTGATAGACAGTCATAGCCTACTAGGCCAAGGAGTTGGTAGAGTATGGCCATAAAACTGCAAATCTATGCTAAAGGTCACAACTAATAAACGCCATTAATTCTGCTTACAGTAAAAGCCTGTGAATGGTGGCTCTAGTATGTTCAGGAAACTGACACTGAAAAACATTAAATATGCCGTTAATTTAGTATCTAAATTCAAATCAAATTCATCTGCTGAATGGAAAAAAACTCCATATTTCCACGTGTATGACCCATACTGCAATGGAATATGTAAATGAAGGTCAGAATAAAAACCTGCGTTTATTTGTAATGTTCCTATGAAGGGAGTTTCAGTGTTTCCTGGTTCCAGGTCAGTAATCATCAGGTTTATGATGACACATAGATACATTTTCACACACTAGACTGGTGTTAGTATGAAAGGAGAAAGAATGGTTTAAACCTATGTTGGTCACTGAGTGGTTTATTTTAGCTTGAAAAAGTAGAGGAACTGGCAACTGAAACCAAAAGTCTGGCTCTTGAAACACACATAGTTCATCAATTCTACTTCGATTTTTATTTTAGGTTTTTCAAAAGTATCCCCCTGGGAGTCAGCTAAATACTGAAAAATAACAATGGACATTCAAACAGAAAAAGTATACCCTCTCTGGCAGAGTATTCGTCGTCCTCTATAACTCTTGCCAGTCCAAAGTCAGCGATTTTGCAGAGCAGACTCTCTGACACCAGGACATTGGCTGCTCTCAGGTCTCTGTGGATATATTTCTTATCCTCTATATACGCCATGCCCTCTGACAGATCACTGCGGTCAAACCTCCACCTTCAGCCACCTGAAGAAGACCACTCCCCCTGAAGATCCCCACAGAAAGCTGTGGCCAAACCTCCACCTACAGCCTCTATAAGGAAACCTGCACAGATGTTATCCTACTGCCATGTGGAGACCTGAGTGGAACAGCAAGGACCAGAGAAACACACGCAGATATAGTCCTTCAGTTAATATGCAAACATATTTCTGTGTTATTAAAGCTGGCTCTCTGTTTACATTCTGTTCACTTGTTCTTCTTCTCACAGGTGTTTTCAAACGTTGTGAAAGACTGAGCTCACACTCCTCAACATGAACCTGACTGACTGTGATGATGCCTTCATGAAACGAGAGAGCTCCACTGTACGTACAGTATAGCAGTATGAGATTTCTTAACAACACTCTGAGTGTATTGGGATTTTTAATGGAAGTTCGGTGATGAATTATATTTGAATGCAACACCTTACACTTCCAGATCTACCAGGAGCTGCTTCAGGGCCCTGAGGACAACTCCTTTTACAACAGCTCTGTTCCAGAGATGCTTCCTCCTCCTCCACATCCTCCACCTTCACCACCCCTCCTGCTCATCGCCAGAACTAAGAGTGCCCCAGCCCCATCTCAGCAACCACCACCAGTTTCTCCTGCAGCCACCGCCTAAGAGGAAGAGACATAAAGAAAAAAGGAAAGGTAAAGGCGAGGCAGCGGAAGACGGTGCCCCTCAACACAAAATCCCCCACATGGCGGTGGATCTGCAAGAAACGCCAGATGAGAAGCAAGGGGCCGAGTCATCCTCAGAAAAAGGGTCTCTAATGGACACCCAACAGAATGAACGAGAGAAAACAGACATCGAGGGGAACGGAGTGAGCCAAGACAACACACTTGAAATAACACCCACTACTGATGACAACGCAAAAACCAACACAAATGGTGGTGAAGAAAGCAGAACAAAAGATGGAGGAAGTGAAAAATTAAGCGAGAAATCGTCCAAGACTGAGCAGAAGAAGAACGCCGACTCAGGATCGCACCGTGCCGGGTTCGACGCCTTTATGACGGGATACATTTTTGCCCATTCATGTACCCTGAACAAGAAGAAAGGAGTGGAAGCTGTAGGGAAGGAGGAGGAAGAGGAGTCCTGGGTTCCTTCGTGTCTCAATAAGGTCTACCTCAGCGGTAAATCTGCTCCTCTCAACGTGGTTAAAAGCACCTTCTCCAAATCATCCAAGGCCCATGTGGCGAAGATGGAGATGGTTTGGGGAAAGAAAGTGTAGTGTCCACACTTGAACACAGTATTTAAGTGTTTATATTAGGGCTGCAACTAATTATTATTTTAATTAGTAATCTGCAGATTACTTTTACGATAAACTGTTTGTTCAATAAATTGTCCAAAAATAATAAAAAAGGAACAACCTCAAAAGACTCAAAGTCCAAGTGATTCAATGTTTTGTTGAGTCCAAACCTATGGTCCAAACCCAAAGATGTTGACTTTAATATAATATTTAACAGAGAAAAGCCAAGATCTAAAAACTGCATTTTCTGGCATTTTTTCCATGGATAATTACTTAAAGGATACATCAATAATCAAAGAAGTTGGTATTTTTTTCTCTGGATGCACCTATTGATTGGTCAATTACTAGTTACAACTCCAATGTACATGTGCAGGTTCAATATCAATAATTGTTTAGCCTGCCAACAGTTTGGCTCAACTATTTGATGGACAGTGCTGAACCCCAGAGGGATGGGTAGATCCCCTTCCTCTGTCACTATGAGGTTGACCATTTCTGTTTTTAGTGACACATTTTGACAATTATTGAATAGATTGGCTTGGAATTTGGTCCATGCCCCCCCCCCCCCCCTCCCTCAGGATGGATGGATTTAAAAGAGTAATCCCTAACTAGGGAACCAGGATTTTGTGTTGATTTTTATTTGCCATGTTTTAAGAATGATGGAATAGGGGGTCAGTTTGCTTGTGGAACAACCTTTCAGTCTGGCAGTGTTGAAATGTAAGTCTGTTTCTCATGCTCTATACTGTTTTTATTTCTTTGTAAGACTTTTGTACATTTGTACGTACTATTAATAGTATTAAAGACGGTAATAAAGTGCAATTCAGTGGCAGCTGTTTTGATCAAGCCAGGTATTGTTTCTTAAGTTTCTCTGGAAAGAGCCAGATTCTTGATTTGCATTCATTGTTCATTTTTGAGGAGGAACAATGCGGATTCCGTCCTGGTCGTGGAACGACGGATCAGCTTTTTACTCTCGCAAGGATCCTGGAGGGGGCCTGGGAGTACGCTTATCCGGTCTACATGTGTTTTGTAGACTTGGAGAAGGCGTATGACCGAGTTCCCAGGGAGGTACTGTGGGAGGTGCTGCGGGAGTATGGGGTGAGGGGGTCTCTACTCAGGGCCATCCAATCTCTGTACTCCCAAAGCGAGAGCTGTGTCCGGGTCCTCGGCAGTAAGTCGGACCCATTTCCGGTGAGGGTTGGCCTCCGCCAGGGCTGCGCTTTGTCACCAATCCTGTTTGTAATATACATGGATCGGATTTCGAGGCGTAGTCATGGGGGAGGGGGTCTGCAGTTCGGTGGACTAAGGATTGCACCACTGCTTTTTGCAGATGATGTGGTTCTAATGGCTTCATCGGTCTGCGACCTTCAGCACTCACTGGATCGGTTCGCAACCGAGTGTGAAGCGACTGGGATGAGGATCAGCACCTCCAAATCTGAGGCCATGGTTCTCAGCAGGAAACCGATGGACTGTCCACTCCAGGTAGGGAATGAGTCCTTACCCCAAGTGAAGGAGTTCAAGTATCTCGGGGTCTTGTTCTCGAGTGAGGGAACAATGGAGCGTGAGATGGGCCGGAGAATCGGAGCAGCGGGAGCGGTACTGCAGTCGCTTTACCGCACCGTTGTGACGAAAAGGGAGCTGAGCCAGAAGGCAAAGCTCTCGGTCTTCCGGGCCATTTTCGTTCCTACCCTCACCTATGGTCATGAAGGATGGGTCATGACCGAAAGAACGAGATCGCGGATACAAGCGGCCGAGATGGGTTTTCTCCGCAGGGTGGCTGGTGTCTCCCTTAGGGATAAGGTGAGAAGTTCGGTCATCAGGGAGGGACTCGGAGTTGAGCCGCTCCTCCTTCGCGTCGAAAGGAGCCAGTTGAGGTGGTTCGGGCACCTAGTTAGGATGCCACCTGGGCGCCTCCCTAGGGAGGTGTTCCAGGCACGTCCAGCTGGGAAGAGACCAAGGGGTAGACCTAGGACCAGGTGGAGGGATTATATCTCTTCGCTGGCCTGGGAGCGCCTTGGGATCCCCCAGTCAGAGCTGGTTGATGTCGCCAGGGAAAAGAAAGTTTGGGGCTCTCTGCTGGAACTGCTACCCCCGCGACCCGACCACGGATAAGCGGGAGAAGATGGATGGATGGATGGATGTTCATTTTTAGATGTTTGTATAATTACCTTTTACAGGAGTTACCTTTTGAAAAAATAAATGTATGCTCTTTAAAAATGATCATTGTCTTTATTTCATTATTTACTTATACTGGTTTTATCTTGAAGGATGATTAAAACAAAATGCCATAATATAACCCCTTGCTATAACCAGCACATCATTTTTGAATCGACTGTCCATGGAAGTAATAGTTAATATATCAGCAGTGTGGCACCAATTGTACCACACTCACAAGTTGACATCCCATTTTAAATACGTTTTTAAAACGTTTTTGTTTGTAGATACATTCATTTTTATTGTGAACTACAAGATTGATAATCATTTTATTTTTTAAATGTTTGCAAACTGACTACAGTGAAAGTTGGTGTATAGCTCCTACACAGGATAAACCATTTGGTCTTTAGTAACTCAGCCTGTCCTCTGGCGCCACCCTCTCGACACATATTTTCTTGTTTCTGTTTGTGTGATGGAGAAGGAATTACATTTGTTTGTTGTTACAAATACTTTCAGTTGAAACAGATTCCTGGTGACAACATTGTTTGGAAGTAGTTTAGCTTGAACACATCACTGAGGGTAAAGTATGTCACAGAACACAGGATTATTTAATAGAGGTGTTTTCATTGAATTCAATATCAAAGCAATCACGTGTATATCATGGGGTGCTCGGTGTTGACCGCTGTGGATCACACTGGTTGTGTTGTTCTTGTTGTCTCCTGTCCCACTTCAGGAAGGCCATACACCCAGGAAGAGCCCTGCCCTGTGATATCAAAAAAAGGCAATGTACAGAGATTACATTAGTGTAAATCTTCACATGAAACTTTTGTCAAAAAAACAATCATGAAAGAGACAAACTCTGTCTTTAATGTTCTACTTAACAAAACACAGGTCCTTGTGTCCAGTTGCCACAGTATGATTCACTCAGAGGAAAATATAAACAAAGTCTAGTTTATATTTTACATGATGATTGCAATGAAATCACAGCACGTAAGCATTTATATATTTATAGTTAAACACGTTTTATATCAGACACTGGAAGCATTCAGATCTGTAAATTCATATGAAGACATGGACTTCATCTCAGGCTGATTGTACTTTACATTTGAGATCAGATATTTCATTAGCTCAACTTGCTGTATTTGAGTAATGATCAGACCAACAACAACATCAACAGGTACGTAGGCCAACCACTAATAGTTCAATTACAAGTGTTTTCATAATTTCTTTCCAAAGAGGTTTCGTCTTTAGGTTCAAGATAACGATAAACCATGTATTGATATTTGTCTCTGCTGCACATTGTGATTTATCTCTAAGCTAGCAAACTGAAAGCTGCGTGTTATACATTTCCAGTTTAATACCAGTTATATATCTACAGATTCAATATTTATGTTTACAAAATGGAGGTAGAGGATTCCATGGTTGCTATGGTTTGACGCAGGACTAGCGTCAATATCGGATCAATATTTAAACCATAACAACCTGAAAACTACCTGAAGACGGTCACGAAAATATTTTCTCCGCTTTCACTCGACGATTCTGCCAAATTATCGCTTCAGCTCAAGTCTTTTTTACATCCCGACAAGAGTCAGAGAACCCCTGAGAGTTATTACAGCGAGAAAACACACTTTAATTATGGAAAATGTAAGATTTCATAACGTTGAAAGTCCCCGTTGTTTCCAATGTGCTTTGCCGTCGACATTTTCAGAAACCTCACAGTTTACTGATGTTTATCAAATCATTTAGTCTCCTGTAACGATAAGTAGGCCTACCATTAAACAGTGTAACTATCAGATTAAGGTCAAGTATACTGTGACGACTCAATTAATACATCTTTGCATTAAAAACTACCAAAAATACACATGCATTCATCAAAACTAGGCCATATGACAATATTAACAAATAAATGTTGTATCTAATACAAATCATTTATATTAACTTTTTAGGCTATATCACCCAGCTTCAAGCTGAAATACATTCATATTGTAACTTTGAATCAAGCTAATTAAAGTCACTCACTTTAACTTAGCATTATTTCCATCATATACATGTGCAATATTATATGTTCAAACAATAAACAGACATATGCTTATTATATAACATTGTAATCACGTCACATATGTGTCACTAAAGCACAATATTAACTGACATGAGGGCCTAAAGGTGGCTCTTGT